GTGTGTGTGTGTGTGTGTCTGCTCCTTACTTTTCTGAGACAACGCTGCTTTTCCTTCTCTTCGTCCCTGCACCGATTGAATGAAGTGGACGGGAAAACGCAACGACGGGGGAGGCGGCGTCGCAGAGGCGGCAATGTGGTCCAAAGTGTTCTCCCCGCTCCTGGCGAACCGACTGCGACCCGCGCAGACGTTCCCACAGCTGAAATTTCGCCCGCAGCAGCACCGCCCTCTCACCAACCAGCGCCGCTGCGCTGTTCCGCTGTCGTTGTTGGACCCGAACAGCCTCGACTTCGCCCGCCGTGAAATCGCTCCCGGAGATGTCGTGGAGCTGCGCGACTCCGAACACCACCGCCTGCTGGCACTGGGCTTCTATGAGCCGGCGCTGCTCCGCGTGGATGTCTTCCACGTCACACCGAAGGTCGTGTCGGAGCTTCCAATCATCAGCGAGGAGTTCTTCCTCCGCCGCGTTCGTGAGGCCTGGGAGCGGCGACGGCGTGCCTTTGGCCAGGCGGGGAGGGAGGGTAACAACGCCTACCGTGTGGTGAACGGCACCGTGGATGGTGTGCCGTCACTTTATGTCGACCTCTTCTCCTCCAGTTTCGCCCGCGTTGTGGCGACTTCGACCGGGGCCGAACGGCTCGTCCCGTGTGTTACGGAGATGCTGCGGCGCCAGGGCGCTGAGGAGGTGCTGCTCGACACGCCGTACCTGAAGGACCGCGAGAAACTCACACTTGTCCACCCCACGATTTCTCTGCCGGGAGAGTATGTGGAGAACGGCACAAGTCACCTGTGGGTGCCGTCGACGGAGTACCCCGCAACACGAAGTAATCGGTGGCTGGTTAACACAGCGCATCGCCGCACACGACGTTTGCTTCGAGACGTATGTCGAGGTAAGCGTGTTCTGTGTTTGAATGATCGCAGCGGAGCTGCTGCACTGAATGCCGTAATGTCAGCAAAGCAAGTCGTAGTTTCTGAAACAGATACTGCACTGCTTGACCGAGTCCGGGAGAACCTGGTGGCCAACCATGCCACGGCCGTCTTCAAAACGTGTGAGACCGTAGCTGCATCGCTTGAGGATCTCGATCTCCGCAAGCAGGACGTGGTTTGCTTGGAGCATCATCCCTACACTTTGTCATCTGCTGGGCAGTGGCAAACGGCCTTTATGAGCCTGTTGCAGCGGCGTATTTGTGGTGATGGGAGTGTGCTCTTTGTGGCACAAGAAACCGCGCCGCTTGGTATTACAGACCTCCTTCAGCAACAATCGTCTGACGCACGCGTTATGCCAGCCCTGCGCGATGAGATTTCGCAGGCTATTCGTGCTGCTGCTGGCAAGCACAAGTTAAGTACCCGACAAATCCGTGTCTTTGGGCCATCCATTGATCATCCGGTCCTTCCTTTGGATGACTCCCCGTGCTTCTCACAGGTGTTTCTCCTGGAGGGAAGTTCGTGATGCCCTTGATGATGGAAGAGGTATCTCTATTTATCCCGTGGGGAGTCGTAAGTGAAGGCCCCGAGGTTCCTCTCATCCTGTTTCTTTGTTGGATCCTTTCCTGTTTTTTTTTTCTTGTTTTTGCTTGGTTGTACTACTTGCAACCCTTGTTGTTGTTGTTGCTTGTTTCCTCTCTCGTTGTGTCCCACCTCATGCATCCTCTAGAATGGATCTGATGGATGGAAACGATATTCAGCGCTTCAGAATTAGATGGCCAGCATCCGTTTGACGCGATAAAGGTGCAAGTCTGCGATGTCGTTCGCCGACTCGACGCTGCGCTTGGGCGTCCACCGTTTCCCAATCCGTCCATTGAGCCGTGCCGCGCACTCGCCCGGACACTAGTCGCCATGCTGCGCCACGTGCACCAGAGGAATCGCATAGCAGCACTTTCGGCCTGCCCAGAGGTGAACATGACTCTCCCTGTGCTCTGCGCCTCTCTGACAGGCGGGTCGGAGGGACGCAGGCCGTGCCCAATGCTGATGGAACTTCTCCTCGAGGCACTCATGTACGTACATGCTGTTTCCGCATATCCGCTACATTCCACGTTGAAGGACGCGAAGGAAGTGTTGCCTCACTCACCTGTGACGTTTAGGTTCTTTGTTGTGACGGGCGCCATTGATGTGGACTCCATGCGTTCATTTTTCGGTATGCCGCCAGCTCCAACGACAGAGCAGCAGGAACGGAATCCTGCGACGAAAAGACGCCGAGTTACTGCGACAAAGAAGAATACAGAGTCTGAGAAGACAAGTGCTGCGGATGGTGAGGGGACGTTTGCCGTGCCAAGCGGCATGCTTACCGCCGCGTTTGACGTGATTCTTCCACCAGACTGCATGAAGGTGCTATTGTCACTATTCAACAGTACGAGTAAGTTTCAGCAGGCCGTAGGATGTGATAGTGAACTGGCTGCGCGTGTTCTTGGAGTGTATGGTGACCACCTCCTCCCAACCCTGCGTCCTACATCGTTGCTTCGCTGTCTGGACGTAGCTGTACTAGATTATTTTGTTGACGTTGTGCAGATGCACGGTGAGAATATGACGCTGCTCACGGAGTCTGTATTCATGCAGATCCCAATGGCGGAGTGGAACTCAGAGCGGCTTACCAATCTTATTCACTACTGTATAGGGCGGAAGGTGCGTCGCGAAGAGGCCTTTGCGAGCCTTGTGGTGTACGTATTTCTCTACAAGCTTCTAACAGCGTGGGAAACGCAAAGCTTGCCGTTGCTTTCTATTGAAGAGGAGGCACAATTGTGGATTGCATCGCTGCGGACGGCGCAAATGGTGCCGTTCAGTACAGGCACTACGCCAACAGTGGAGGAGGAGCGTCTTATCAAGCCGCTCAGCGTGCTTGCCGAGTGTGTCAGACGAAGGCACACAATAAGCACGGTAACGGCGGCAGCGGCAGCTGCTGCTGCTGCTTCCACAGAGGCGCATAAATCTGTTGGAGGCATTTTTCATATGCTTACTACCTCACTCGATGCGAAAGTGAATATGGCACCCACCACCGCGGCTGGGGGAGGAACAAAGAGGAAAAAGGGAGGGAAGAAGAACGTCAAGATTACTGTGCCACAGCAAGTTCAGCTGGCCTCGGTTGATTCAATGGACCACTACTGTAGGTGGATTGCCGAGTCCCTCTGCTTGGTATTGTGGCTGACGCCTCCTGTTGCAGGAATGGAGGACTCAGATGGTCCGTGGTGCATTGTGGAGTCCCTAGCCACTTTGCTTATTCCTTCTACAGAAATTGCTCTACAACGGACCCCACAAGCCTCCACGTGGGAAAGCTTCTTGAATTTCCTTCTGTCAGCTCTGTGCATGCACGCGTCAACGAGCACTACATCCTCCTTGGGACGGACGACCGCAGCGGCGCTTGTCGCTGCTGTACAGGCCACACACAGACTGGAGTGTTGCTGCATCCTTACGCAGCGCATGCCTGACGCCTACACAGCACTGTGGTGGCCGCTAAGTGGATACAGGGTCGTCATTGAGGCTTGGCTCAGTGGTTCTCCGAGTGTGGATCGTTTCTATGCACCTTTCCTATCAGCTTCTCCTACGGAGTGTGTCGGGCTTCTCCTTAGTATGATGGATGAGAATCGTCTCAGGGAATTGGTGTGTTTGTTGTTAGACGTAGAGCAGACCGCAATGATTCTTCTCCCTTCCCTGGAAAAGGCGGCACAGCAGAGAGATCCCAGCAATCCCGCATCAGTGGACGGCTTTACACGACTGCACGCTCAGCTCTGCTGCGCTTTTGAGAACCGTGCCAAGGTGGTGGCAGAGCAGCAGCAGAAAAAAGAGGAGAGCAAAAAGGCTCAGCTTCTTTCTGCCGTGTGGCAGAAGAAAGAGCTTATGGAAAAGGCCAACGCATTTGAGAGAGAGGCGCAGAAGTTTCGAGTAGCGAAGGAGGAAGAGCATGCACGCATCCAGCAGATAAGAGAAGATCGGCAACGAGAAAAGGAGCAACGACGCGAACGTGAGCGTCGTGAGTGGCAAGAACGAAGGCAGAAGGCTCTCGCTCTCATTCAAGAGATGGCGGAAAAGACAAGGGTGGAGCGGCTTGCTGAGCAGCGGGAGAAACTTCTGCAGTACCGCGAGCGGGTAGCCTCGCTCTCGCGCATGTCATCTTTTCTCGAGGGGCTGCAGGTGGCCCCGTCAAGGATCATGAGCCTTCTGGCCGCGCTGCGCCCATACCTGCATCGCATGACGCACGACGAGCTGCTGGAGTACGTGGTGACAGGCGACCGCGAGGTTCCCAGCGACATGCGCGCAGCCGATGATGCGCCTCTCGGCGAATGTACGAAGGAGCGAGCGGAGGAGACAGTTTATTTCAGTGATGAAGCCCCATCTTTCTGGGATGGCGTGATGCAGTTGGTCGCGAAACATTCGGGGGAAGCCATCGGCAATTCTCATGTTGAGGTGGAAAAGGAGGATGTGCCTTGCGTTCCTACCGGTGGCCCCTCCTTCCACAAGAGAGTGAGTGCGGCGCTTGATCTGTTTGACTACTCGGTGGGAGCCGATGCGTCGCTTCCCGATCCGCTGCCATCGGTGAACGTGCGCACTGCTTCTCGAATGCTTGGGCGGGAGGTGCTTGCAAACACCGGTTTTGTGAATGGACGCGAGGCACTGCTCGCGTGCCAGCAGCGTGGTCTCTGTGTCCTGCGCGATGGTGTGTGCACGCTCACCCGCTTGGGCTTCCGCTACCACTTCCCATTCCACGACCCGGATCTGGTGCTGGACGTCCAGCTTGAGCGTCGCCGTAGAGAGGCAAGGAGAAAGTTGGCGGAAATGCAGTTCCATGAGGCTGGCGGGGAAGAAGAAGAAGAGGATGAGGAGACCATGTCGTCCGACACAGATGGTGATGAGGTTCGCTTTACCGATGAGCCTGTTTGATAACGTGGGCCTCCTTTCCCCTGTCATGGTGGTAGCTGAGAGTAACCGTGAGCATACGTTAGAGGGAGCGAAGGGCAGCAGCGGCGGCGGCACCTGGCGTAACAGTTACTGTGCTCTAACTATCCTTCTGTCTTTTTTTCTGCTCCGCCCATACGCCTCTGCAGAAAGAATCTACCGCGAAGATTGGAGGAAAGATCATGCAGGACGGTGGTGAGGAATTGTTCTGTGACGATATTGCTAGCGACGCAGCCTCCGATGATCCCCCCACCGTGAGAAAAGAGGACAAGGATGAAGAGCCGAAGGCGGTGACAGATGATTATGATGACGTTGATGATAATGGTGATGATGAAGCCACGTGCGTCCCGTACTTGGCACCTCTGCGGCGATCGACATTCATTTCCACGCCTGCCGCATTGCCCACCGGTGTCAAGGTGGCGTGCGCAGGCAACGACGATGACGCAACCGCCACGGTGGCGAGCCCACAAGAGCTGCGGTGCGCCACGACGGACGACTCAGACGACGACAAGAGCATCCTGCAAGTTGGTCTGGAGGCCCTTCTTGGCGAGTGCGCGGCATCCAATACCGCCGGGGCGACATTGCCGATATGCAGCGCATTGCTGAAGAATCACCTCGGCGTAGCATCGGGCCAGTTCCGCCCCGGCCAGCAGGAGGTGGTGTCGTCAATCCTCCGCGGCTGCAACACGCTGGCGTTGTTCCCCACTGGTTGGGGCAAGACGCTCTGCTTCCAGTTTCCCATGCTTGTCCACCGTATGCTATTCGACGCCAAGCTCCAAGCGTGGGAACGGCAGCAGGGCGCGGAGGGAGACGTCGCGAAGACAACAGCGCCAGGGGCCCGCTTCGCCGTTGTTGTGTCGCCGCTACTGTCACTGATGACTGATCAAGCCTCGAGGATAGCGAGTGGTGGGGTTCTGCGTACGGCCATTCTCTCCTCCGGTACCTCGGCATCGCGTGAAAAGTCAATTCTGGATGATTTGGCATCCCCTTTGTGTGCCATTGACCTGCTCTTTGTGTCGCCGGAGCGCCTTGTTCGCCACGGTCAGCTCCGTAGTGTCCTGGCGAAGCATGTGGATCGCATCGCCTTTATCTGTGTGGATGAAGTACATTGTGTATCGCAGTGGGCGTATGACTTTCGCCCCTCCTTCATGTACCTGCACCGCGTGCTTTCGGACCTCGGAAGCGAGAGTGCTGATGCTACTGCCACAGCGGAAACAAAAAAGTCGCCACCATTCCTTTGCCTGACAGCAACGGCGGCGCCCCCTGTCATTTCTGACCTCCAGAAAACGTTTCGTATCGAGCGCACCGTCACGGTGCCGTATCGTCGTGACAATCTCAAGCTGGAGTCTGTCTGTCTCGTGGACGCCGGCTCCAAGAAGCCTCCCACACACCGCACACTGCAAGAGAAACTCTTGCAAGCGGTGCTGGAGCTGCCAAAGCCAATGCTGGTGTACGTCCAGACCCGCGTGGACGCGGAAGAGTTCGCCAAGTACCTCACAACAAAGCTGGGTGCCGCACAGAACGAACAGCTGGTAAATGATCGGAGCACCACATCTTCCAACATCTTTACAAGCGCCACACATGAGCAATTGCGTAAGAATGGTGGCGTTGGAGGAGTTGAGGGAGGTCGTATTGTTATTCGGAGTTATCACGCAGCTCTTGAACGTCATGTGCGGGCCAGGACACAGCAGCAGTTTATGCATAACAGCATTGATGTGTTGATCGCGACAGTGGCATTTGGAATGGGTATTGACAAACCCGATGTTCGCTCTGTGGTTCACACATCCGCGCCGAGCTCCCTCGAAAGCTACGTGCAGGAAACCGGTCGTGCGGGTCGTGACGGTGCGATATCGACGTGTCGTCTTCTTTACAGTCCATTCGACTTCTATACGCTGCGTTCTCGCGCCCTCTCATCCTTCATATCACCGGCGGAGATGTTGGCTGTCGTGCAACACATTCTCGGTAGCCCAACGACAAAGGTGGGGGAGAAGTTGACGATGGTTTCTGTGTCAAAGGCCGCTGAGGAATTGATTATGAGTGAGGAGACGGTCGAGACTATCCTCTTTTTGATCCTCACACAGGAGGACGGCGTGCTGCGTGAGTTGCGTGGAACGGCCCAAATGGGGTACCGCGTGACACACGCCGTTGCCGAAGTTGTTGCTGCTGCTTCTGCCACTGATGCTTCGGCGAAACGGAAGCGGGGGCGTGATGCATCGGCGCCGTCCGGCGTCAGTGGTGTCTTGGCGCAGCTGGAGGTGCTCGACGGGGTCTTCGAGCTGTGCCGGCAGAACAAGCGGATTGAGAACGTCGTGTCCGCCGCCAACACGCTGAACATGTCGCTGCAGGATTTTCAATTCAGGTTAAACGATCTTGTTGCAGGTGGGTTCGTATCGGTGCAGCGGATTTCTTCCGCGTATGTCGTTTCGCTGGGTGAGCAATTCGCAGAGGCCGCTGCGCCGTCCGGGCAGCAGGCGTTGGCGCAGCGGATGTGGCGCGCGCACCACATGCGCCTCGAGGCCATGACGCGTGCGCTTGAGGTGACCTTCGCGGTGCTGCAGAATCCCACGCATGACTCCATACAACAAGGCCTGGAGTGGGACGCGAGGCAAGAGACTGCTACCACCAGCCCTGCAATGAAATGGCAGCATCCGCCACGCGGTCTAACAAAGGTGGAGGCGGTGCAAATCGCGAACGACTTTGTGGAGAAGAATCGGCCGCGTATTCGCGGCGTGTACGAGGCTGCCCGGGCACTCCTTGGTGTTCTACCCAAAAGTTTGACAAGTCGAGGAAAGTACGCGGGTGAGCTGCCACTCAGCACGAGTTGGTACGTTGGCTCGCCGTACTTTGGTCTGCTGAGGGAGTTTGCGCTGGAGTGGCTGTTGAAGGTGCTTGCACCGCACAGACTGGACGAAGAGGTGGGTACGAGGAACATCAGTCTCTTGCCGACTGCTTAACTCCGCCCGTTTCGTTTTTTTTTTATTTTTGGTTGTTGTTGTTGTTTTGTGAAAGAGTTGGGGTGCGGTGCGAACGAAAATATATAAATGTCGGTGTGTCACCCTCTTTCTCTCCCTCCCGTTTGGTCTCAAAATAGCCGTGTTATGGGGGGAAAAAGGGGGGAAATGCCGTACACTGTTCCGCCCAAGGCGATTGCCGATTACCAACGAGATGGGGTCATTCTTCTCCGACAGATCCTCTCGCCGCAGCAGGTGAAGGAGCTGCAGAGCGGCATTGACTATAACATGGCACACCCAAGCCCGCTCGCCAGGATCGCTTCCAGTGATTCCGACACGGGGCGGTTCTTCGAGGACTTCTGCAACTGGCGCCGCATTCCCGAATATGCCCACATTGCGCAAAACCCGGACTTGAGCCACATTGCCGCTGTGTTGATGGGCAGCGTGGTGTCCCGCCTTTACTATGATCATACGCTGGTGAAGGAGCCCAAGACGCAACAACAAACGCCGTGGCACCAGGACCAGCCTTACTACAACATTGACGGAAAGCAAACCGTCAGCTTTTGGATTCCGGTGGATGAAGTTCAAGCCGACAGTGCCATGGAGTTTGTGAGTGGCACTCACAATGGTCCTTGGTTCATGCCACGCACCTTCAAGGAGAACAAGGCGAAGTGGTTTCCCGAAGGGAGTCTGGCGGAGTTGCCTGACATTGAGAAGCTCCGCGGAGAGCAGCGCATCCTTTCGTGGGAGGTGCGACCAGGCGATGCCGTGTGCTTCAACATGCTGACGCTGCATTCTGCAAAGGGCTCCAGAGGGATGCGGCGGGCCTTCTCTGTGCGATACGTTGGTGACGATGTTGTATACGCCCCTCGTCGGTGGGTTACGTCACCGCCGTTTTATGGGTTGGAGAAGGAGTTGTCAGCGGGTGCCCCACTTGATCACCCGATGTTCCCTGTGGTCTTCAGGCGCTCCCACGTTTAATGAGGTGATGTGAGTGATTCTTTTTTTTTTTGCTACTGATGAACTGCTATGCTGTTTTTTTCGATGTCTTTGTTGTTCGCTCTCCATGCTGTTTGTCGGCATTTTATGTTCGTCTTGCTTGTTTGTTAATGTCTTTTTTTTTTTGAGAGTTTTGTGGCTTGAAATATCTGCACCATGTCGTGCAGTTGCTGATGTGTAAGAAAATGGAATTGGGAAATTTGTTTTCATTAAAGGCCCCTCGTCTGTGAGGCCAAGATGCTCAACTCTCTTCCTGGCCCTCTTTGAACACGGTTCGCAAGGAATTCACTCTCGCTATCAAGGTGGACGGGATGCGGCGTTGCCAGAGGTTATGGGTGCTTCAAGCTGCCGCGGCACTGCATGCTGACACTGGACTTGAAGAAGGACAGCAGCAGAGACTTTCACCAGAGCAACCTGTTTATTTGAAGCCGAGTCGTAGTGGGCGGCGCAAGGCAAGTTTCCTATTTCCACGTATGCGTGGGGCTCTACCTGACTACGCAATTAGGGCACCGCCCCTCGGTTCCGCCGCACCACTTTTTCACATTACGTCCCCCTCGTGTGAGTATTATGCTCTTCGGCTGCCCTTCCTGAGGGCGGGATTTAAGCGTATTCCCATGCAGGCCAATACTTCCATTCCGAGCAACGTCCTGTGGGGGCGTTCCATGCGGCAGCAACCGATGCAGTCACATGCTTCCACATGTATCGTCTCTTCTTCTTCTTCGTTGTCGCGTGATGTGGATGGTGGTGGTGTAGAACTCCACAAGGCGTCGCTGTCCTCGACGCGTGCGAAGGAATTGGAGGAGTGTCTCTCCACCGCGCAGATGGTGTGCGCCCACCAGCGCTTCAACCATTTCCCGCGCAGTTACGGCAACATCGGCTGCAAGTGGGGACTGGCGGTACGACTGCAGTCTGTCGCGAATGCACTCGAGGCAGCAGGGGACAAGCAACAGCGCTACGGATTCTTGCCGCGCACCTGGGTGTACCCAGGGGAAAAACGGGCGATCATGAAAGCCATGGCGGCGGCCCCACCGACGCGGCGGTTTATTTGGAAGCCCGCTAGGGGAAGCTGCGGCCGCGGCATATTTACATGCATGGGTGGGGCGAAGAACGCGCGGTGCTGGGAGCGTGTGATGGAGGATATTGAAGCCCGCGCCTTGGGTGACGTGTCACTAGCAGGTGGTATGAGCCGCAAGTATGTTGTGCAAGAGTACATCGAAGATCCATTGCTGCTCGATGGTCGCAAGACGGACCTTCGCCTCTACGTGGCCGTTACGAGCTACGACCCACTGACCGTCTACCTACATGAGGAGGGTCTTGTACGCCTTGCGGCGCAGGAGTACAGCAATAGCGGCAGTGATGGTGGGACAATTTTCGATCCGTTTCGTGACCTGACAAATTACTCGGTTGGGAAGCGGTGGAATATGCGCAGCAGGTCGTCGCCCAACACGGAGGGTCCGGAAACCGACGTGGTCCCTGCTGCTGATGTGGCTTCGCCACCGCTGGTGCTCAAGAAGAGCTTGGCAGAGCTGTGGGCACACCTGGACAGCACGCACCCGCTGCCGCCGCGATCTATTCCCGCCGCGACACTTGCGAACGCCCCTCCACAGCGGCGCATGTCGCTGCGAGTGTGGGACGACATTGCGTGTGCGATCGTCAAGACGCTCCTTGCGGTTAAGGTGCCGCTGGCAGGTGCGGCGGGCAGTTTGCCATTCCCGAACGGATTCTTCGAGCTCTACGGATTCGACATGATGCTTGACGCGAAATTGAAGCCGTGGCTAATTGAGGTGAACACGCTGCCGTCGCTTGCCAGCACGTCCCCACTCGACTATGCCGTGAAGACGAACGTCGTTTCAGATCTTCTCAATCTTGCAATGATTGAGCCGTTCGAGCGACCCGCGTCGTGCTTCGGCACACTCGGCGACGACGTACTGCACCTTACTGGCCTGCTTGACCCGCTCACGAAGGAGGCAGCGGAGGCTGTGCATCGCTGGAGTGGCGTCACAAGTCGTGGCTGTCAGCAGTTGCGCGACCGCGAGGCAAAGGAGGAGTTGCGTCTTCGCCTGCAGGATGAGCTTGCGTACTGCCGCGGCTTCAAACGCATCTTTCCACCTCTGCTCAGTTCGCATAGACTTCCACTGATGAGTGAGGTTGACGCCATCTCCCAACACATTTGTTTGACCAAATCCGACGTTTGGGCGTTGGAGGCGTAAACACGGGAGGCTGTAGTGACGCTTTGCACTGCGTTGGATCATAACGCTCGGATATAATTTAGTGTTGTTCAGATGCATTTCGCGGCTGTTCTTTTTAACATGAGTACAAGGACGGAATGTGGTGGGAACGTGGTGTGTGTGTGCGCGCAGCGATACTGCTTTTCCCTGATACATGCACGCGCCTTAGAGCACCGCCTTTTTTGCTTTGTGTCGTTTCTATCTGTGCTTGCACACATATCGACTGGAGAAGGAAGGAAGGAAATGGACGACCACCCCCCACCGCTGAGGCCCTTGTCAGAGCTCCCGGAGGCGGAGGCGGCGGCGCTCCTCGCGGAGTACGGCACCAGCGGACCGTACGATGATCTTCTTAGCTTCCCTGCCGTCTCGAACTGCGTCTTTGAATACGGCGGCAGAGACGTCTTCCTCACCGGCGCCGGCCCCGACGACGGTGACGATGATGATGATAACAAAAACGCAACGGGATTTGGCCGCAACAGCACCGACGGTGTGGACTCCACATGGCCCCTCGAGTGTCTTCTGTTGCGCCACACGAAACTCCTCTCGTCTACAACTGCGGTTCCCCTCTGGGATGGCGTGAAAAAAGTGCTGAACGGCGAAGAGGGCCATGCTTTGGCTGTCCACCGTGACGCGCCGTCGACAAAGACCGTAGAAGATGCAGTGGAAAAAGCAGGCGATCTCCTCCTTCCAGACGTTTTCCCAGATGACGGGAGTAACGAGGGTCTCTTCAACACTATAGACAGTATGTTGCGTGAGGCGGATGTGGTGCTGGCGAGGCGCAAGCCGTACGTCGACCCCATGAGCGAGGCCGCACTCCTGGAGAGGCAGCGCGCTGTCGAGGAGGAGGAGCGATGTTGGCCCCCTATCCACAACGACGCTGGTGATGGTGCAGCCGCTGATCTGACAGAGGGTAACAGTGACTCGGAAGAAGAAGAGGCCAGGGAAAAGGGACTTGGCGATGGAGAAGCAACCAGTCTTTTTGCATATGAATTTGGTCCGACAGCGGAAGAGGTGCAGACTCTTCGCGAGTGGGATGAGGCGGTGGCGCGCTGCGAGCGGCAAAACGAGGCCCTAGCAAGCGCTGCAGTGCACCTCGAGACACCCGATATCGCACTTGGCGCCGAGCAACAAAGTGCTGCTGCTGCGACAGTGGCTCCTCTAATGCTTCCGCTTCAGCTGGAGGAAGGTGAGGCCGCTGAAACAGTAGAAGCGACAACGGTGGTCGCCACTACGCAGCCCTCATGGGTGGACCAGCACGAAGCAATTCTGCAGTCGATTCAGACGATGGAGGTACGAGACAGTGAGGTGCAGGCGGTTGCAAGCCAAAGGCTGCTGCAGATGAAGCAGGAGAACCGCCGACCTCGTCGCATACCACCCGGGCAGCTGGTGCTCGATGGTTTCGTAGCGCGTGTGGACGTTCTGCTGCCACCATGCGAAGTGGAAGTGGAACTGCGGACCGCAGTCGCTCTGGAGACTGAGGACGATACAGCGGCGGCAGCAGCAGCAGCAGGAGATGGAGTGAGTGTTGGTGCTGAGAAGTCTTTGCTGGCGGCGGTGGCATCTGCGAGGGAAACTACAAAGGTTTCCAGTGTGGAGCAGATACAAAAAAAAGCTGAACGGGAAATTTTTCTCGTGCGTCGCGAGGCGTATGAAGCACGGTGCATGCAGGAAGAAGATACGAAAGCCAGTTACGAGTTACAGTGGCGCGAGGAAAAAACGAGACGTATTCAAGAAGCCATTGCAGATTGCGTTCTCAGGGAAGACGCAGCGTATCGCTGCATCCTAGCGGAGGAGCTCGCTGAACACCAGGAACTCTGCAAGCTAGAACACCAGCAGGACTGCCTGCTAAAGGAGATTGAGTTCCAACGAAAGGCTCATGCTACTGCCCAGATTGTATGTGGCATTCTGGAGGAGCATGCACGCATTCGGCGTGTCATCATCGCAACAGAGGAGGAAGATGCAAAGGAGTTGGTGCGGGCAGAGCAGGAGGCACTCCAGTTGCTTCTGCGCAGCCGGAAGCAGCTGATGGCACAAATTTCTAGCTGTGTGGAGCAATGGGACACCGCCATGGAGGTGAAAGGTCGCGGCAGTCAGGCTCCTCCAGCTCAGGGGGATGTGTCGCTAGCAACTGCAGCGGCCTGGCAACGTCTGGCAGAAGTCCGGCATTCCAATCCGTCACTGGCGTGCAGTGTTGTCTTGCCAATTTCCAGCATGTCTCGCTTGCAGGCGTTGCTGCAGGAGGAGCGTCATGGGACCGCGTGGCGGAGGGATTGCAAGCAGATTATTGCCGACACTGCCGGCTCTCTCGCGGCGTTTGCGCATAGCGTTGCCAAGTGCGCCGGGAAAGCGGCCCCCATGCCCGGTAGTCGTCCAGGGACGGCAACTACTGTTTCCGGTACTGCCGCTTCCTCTGCCTCTTCTTCCACGCCGCAGAATGATGCGTTGTCGTCCTCAACTAATGACGCTTTTATTCGCCTGGACGCAAAGCTTGCCAAGCAGCTGCAGCCGCTCGTCTTCGGCGTTGCGAAGGCGGGCATGCGGGAAGTGGCGCAGCAGTGCCATACCGTTTCCTTCGCGCTGGAGCAGATTGCCTCAATTGACTTCGCCAGTCTCGCCACGCTGGAAGTGCGCACAGACGCCGCCGCTGAGTCTCGTGTAGGCAGGCGCGCCACACCCGCAGCGCCTTTTGTGCGGGAACTTGATCTTGGTGGCAACGCACTGCATGTGCTGCCGCTTGACGATCTTCTGCGCGTGTTCCCGTCACTCCGCAGCCTCAACATGAGCGATAATGGCTTGAAGAGTTTGACGTGCCGAGCTGCATCGATGCGTGGAGTATCGGAGGCGCACGTGCACTCCGTTGCACAGGCGGCGTGCGTATCGCGTCTGGATGTCTCGCTGAACGCACTGAGCAGCGTCGAGGCGATCGGTAAGCTTCTTTCGTACAACCTGCACACACTTGTGATGTACGCAAATCAGATCGAGTCATTGTTGCCATTGGCCTCGTGTGAGAGTTTGGTGTGCCTCGAGGCGAGCCGCAATAATGTCACTTCGCTTGCAGAACTTCAGCAGCTTCGTCTCTTGCAGACGCTTGACCTGAGTGAAAACGGTATCACAAACTTGGACGCCCTGGCACAGCACGTGTTGCTTCAAAACTTGTATCTGTCGCGGAATCAAATCCAGACGCTACCAAGAGTGCTGTCACTTGGGTTCTTGCGCCAACTTTTCATGAACGAAAACCGTCTCGAGGAGTTGCCTGGTGAATGCTTCCGCTGGCTTCCTCTGTTGTCGGTGCTGCATGTGGAGAACAATAGACTGCGCGATTTGTCGGGACTGGCTCACTGTCCACGGCTGACCAACGTCAGTGTCGCCTTCAACCAGCTGCAGCAAGTGGAGGACCTTCAGCCGCTGGCGGCATGCAAGAAGCTGCAAACACTTTACGTCAGCGAGAATCCGTTTGCACGTGGCGATCATGAGGCCGGCACCGATGATCAATCCGACAAAAATGGAAACGGCAACAGTGGTCGTATGCCAGAAAAAGTGAGACGGGCTTTGCTCGCCTGGTTTCCACGTCTGATCGAGCTTAACAATGAAAAGGTGGAGGAAACCGATCGGCGGGATGCTACGCGGGCTGAAACAGTAAGCCTTCGGTCCTTTTGTGCGGCTCGCGAGTTGCTGCGGCAACACAACGAAAGCGCTCTTCACGGAACAAGGTATTGGCCCTCCTGTTCAACGCCTGAGGATGTACGAGGATTCTACGGTGCGGTTGAATGCTACAGTCGTTATGCGAGCCCGATGCGTGCCCAGAAGGAAATGTTTGCTGCCCTAACAAGTGACGTGGTACTGACAAGCATTCAGACGGAGCAGGACGTTCTCGCTACGGTCCGTCGGCGGCGTCAACATGATGCAGTGCACATTGAAGACGAGCTACGGCAGCGTCTGCGCGAATCGAAGCAGCGCCTCAACCCAGTGGTGCACCGCCTCTCGGACAAAGTGGAGGAACGCAACCGGCGCGATACGATGCTCACTCTGCAGCGACACCTCACAGCGATGCAGACAATACCGCGCGTGCAGGCCAACATTCACACCCGCCCCGCTCTCTACCACGAGCGGGCGCAGGCGCACAGAGAAGCACAAGCGAAAGTGGTTCTCTGTGACTGGCTCTACCTCAGAATGCTCGGAAGGCGGGCGAAAAAGGAGCTCGCGGTTCGAAGAGCGGCACAACTGAAGCGCTACGAGGTGGCCGCTCGTATTATTCAGCCAGTGTGGCGTGGCGCCGCGCTCCGCTCACGTCTCAAGCGTATTCTGCACCCCGCTGGCGACGACGACGACGACGACGACGGACAATTCGCGCACGTTTCGGTGGACTTCCTCCTTGAAGGCACGGAGGCGGTCGACGGCGACGGTGGGGTCGGCGCGGTGCTGCAGACTGTGCTGCAGGCGCACGGGGCGCCGCCGAATTTCCCGGCGGTGTTATCCTCTGCAAGAACAGGTCTGCAGCAGCCACAACAGATGGGGCTTCGGCCAAGTTCAGCCGCACCTGGTCCGTTGCGTTGCAGCAGTAGCAGCGGAGACTCCAAGATGCGGCGTCCGGAGAGTCAGCCGCAGAGTCTGCAGGTGACGCAGCAGCAGTCACCACCACCACCACCGCCGTCGCTCTCGTCTTCATCGCGTTTGGATGATGAGTGGGGAGCGCTTGTGAGCTCGCAGCTGCGCAAGCGGCAGAAGAAGATGGATCGTGCCCAACGCGAGAACATGCAACGTGAGTTTATGAAGGACCCTTTGAAGGTGAAGCGTGCGCTTAAGAGTGGGGATGCGTAAAGGGGGGGGGTCAACGTGGATATACGGCGCTAATGTCCCTTGGTGCTTCATATGTGAAGAAGAACTAGTGGTGTGTAGAGGGTTTACTGTGTGCCCTTGCAACGCTGTGTCACTCTGGTGTGTTTCGTGCGTGTTGATGGATTTCGTTTTTTCGTTTTTCGACCAGTCCTCTACCCCTCCCGCTTGCTTTGTTCAAAATGTTTTATTTTTCCTGTTGTATCATCTTCGCTGTTGCACAGAAGCTCGCGCAAATACCACAGTGGCGTCTGTACCTATTAATCGTTTGAGCAAGGCCGCGTTGACCATCCCCGGCGTCGGCGACAGAGTGCGGGAAACTCATTCCACAGACGAGAAGCACCGTCTCGGCACCCGTCTGGTTCGTATTCGATTCTGCGTCAGCAGTTTTCTCCGCGCTGTTCATTGGGCGGTCGGGGCTGTGCTGTCACTTCTCGTCGTCCTGGGGGTGCGACGGGACAGTGCTGATAAGCGCAAGCAGGTGCAGAGCGCCTCTACCATGCGGACGGTGAAGCCGCTGGACGCCTCGGTCGCCGCCGCACACCCCGACAACACCGTTATTAACAGTCGATACACATACTACAACTTTGTGTTTCTCAACCTCTACGAGCAGTTCCGGCGCCCGCTGAATTTCTACTTTCTGCTGGTGGTATTCCTCCAATTCATCTCTGTGATTGCACCCGTCAGCCCGCTATCGACGCTTCTGCCACTCCTTCTTGCCTTCAGCCTTACCGCCTTAAAGGAGGGCTATGACGACGTGAAGCGGCACCGGCAGGACGCTGTATACAACAACACTACACGCACTATACTTAATCCAGAAACAGCGTCGTGGGAGAAACGACGCAATTGTCGCATACGCGTCGGTGACGTTATCCTCTTGCAGAATGATGAAGAGATCCCATGTGACGTTGTGGTAGTGGCTGCAGTATCTCATACAGTGTATATACGGACAGACAACTTGGATGGCGAACTGGATCTTAAGCCGCGGGAAATAGTGATGCCCCATAATACCTCTTTTTTGAGTGAGTATGACGTCGAAGCAATGGCGGCAGCAGACGCCGGTAACGCTAATATCATTCATATTAATGATAACTGTGATGTGCTTATGGAGAAGCTGGCCCTTCTGAAGTTCACGTGTCCTCCTCCATCGGCCATGCTTGACTCCTTTGACGGACGCGCAGAGTTCCAGCATCCTACCAGCAGTGGCCCGCCAACGTACGTTTCTCTTTCCCACCACCACCTGCTGCCGCAGTCCTGCAGATTGAAGAACACCCAGTCTGTGATATGTGTGGCAGTTTACACAGGTGATGAAACGAAATGCGGTATGAATAAACGACCCCCTCCTGTGAAATGGGCGAAGATTGACCAGGATGTCTCGCGGTACTCCGTCATTGTATTCTGTTGTCAGTTGGCGAATGCCTTTGCCTTTGGCATCGCAGGATACCTCATGAATCGGGATATAGAAGAAAGGTTCTGGTATCTACAGATGCCGCCCAGTGAGTCAAACGCCTCGTTTATCATTTATCCGCTGCGATTTTTCCTTTTGACGACAGTGATGATCCCGGTGTCCTTTAAATTCGTTGTGGATATGAGCAAATACTATATGGCTATGACAGTGGAGTGGGATGAGGTGATGAAGCACGGAGGGCCCGACAGCGAGGGGTGCCGTGTAAAGAACTCCAGCATCCTCGAGGACCTTGGCCAGATCGACTACGTTCTCTCTGACAAGACCGGGACAATGACGCAGAACGTCATGGAACTCCTTTATGTCACAATCGGCGAGGAGCGGATACCTTTGCATTTGGACAAAGAGGATTCATCTGAGAATAAACAGGCAATTGTCCCAAGTGACGATCGTGTGTTGCATTTTGGTCGGGTTCTGTCTCTCTGCAACGCAGTAGAGGTTGTAGAAAGACCCTGTGACCCCCACGGGGCCGTCAACATGGAGCCATTTCTTTATCAAGCCGCATCTCCTGATGAGGAGGCTTTATGTAGAGGTTCTGCGCAGCTGCACGTCCGTCTGGTGCGCCGTGACGCTCACGAGATTGTGTTGGACGTCAAGGGGGTGCGTGAGACGTGGATTCTTCACCATACATTTCCTTTCTCATCGGAGCTAAAGTCTATGGGAGTTATTGTGGAAGAGAAGTCCACAGGAATCATATATTACTTTGTAAAAGGGGCAGATGATCGTATCGTTGAGATGACATCAGCAGCGTCACCTTTGTCATCCAGCGTGTCACTGAAGATGCGAGAGTCGCAGCAGGAATCACTAGTGTCCCACCTGGACGCTTACGCGATGAAAGGTCTTCGAACGTTGGTAGTTGCTGAGAAGCAACTAGGAAAAGCGGATCTACATGCATTCCTCAATCAGGTGAAGGCTGCAGAGCTCTCATTGCATGGACGACGGGAGCAGATGCAGGAGATACGGCTGAAGATGGAAACTGGGGTGTGCATTACTGGCATCACGGCAATTGAAGACAAGCTACAGGAAGCTGTTCACGACACAGTGCGGGATTTCCTCCGTGCAGGCATAAAGGTGTGGATGCTAACCGGTGATAAAGTGCAGACGGCGGAGCAAATTTCCCTTTCTTGTGGTCTATACTCCGCTGGGAACCGCGTGTTGCGTGTTGTCTCGGCCAGCACGGATAGCGAAGCCACATGGGAGGATCGCATGATGGCGCTTCCTCTTCCAATGTCGCGTGGCGCCACAGCGAATCGTCTGGAAGGTGTGCCTCTGTCAATGGGCGCAGAGATTCTCAACGCGGAGGTCTTGTACGATGTGGATACGCAAGGGAACGCTAGCTGTCTTTCCAACGTGTTTCGGAACGAGATAGGCGGCTACAACACAATGTTGTCTGCCGCCACTGTCAATAGTCAATGTGTGTTAGTTGTGGAAGGCGGTGTGGTGTTGGAGCGGATCCTCAAAACACCGGCGCTCAGGGAGCGGTTCGCCGCACTGAGCGATGCGTGTGTGAGTGTCATTTGTGCCCGCGTCACGCCCAGCCAGAAGGCTGCCGTGACAAATTTTGTGCGCTCGCGTGGTTTTATGACACTTGCGGTTGGTGACGGCGGAAACGATGTGGCGATGCTGCAGGAGGCGCACGTGGGTGTAGGTATCACTGGCAAGGAGGGACAGCAGGCCGCGCGTGCTGCGGATTTTGTCATTACACGCTTCTCGGACCTTCGCGCACTTGTGTTTGTGCATGGTCAACAGGCCTACACGCGCACAGCGTACGTTATTAAGTATAGTTTCTATAAGTCGATGCTGATCAGCTTCATTCAGCTTGCGTACAATGTCGTTGGGACGCATGTCTCTGGTGGAACATTCTGGAATAGTTTTAGTCTCACACTGTGGAACGGTGTGTACACACTTCCGCAGACATTGTTCTATTGTCTCGACAGAATCACACCTCGCAATGTGCTTGAGCGTCACACCTTTCTCTACAAGATGACACGCCGTGCAACAGACATGAACATTCGTGAGTTCTTTGTGGTCTTTGTGTTTCGGGGCATTGTGCAGTCAGTGGCGACACTCTGGCTTTTGTTGGGGGTGTTCGGAACAAGTTTTGCCTTTGAAGGGAATGGAAGGACCGCCTCAAATGATGTGGTATTCTCCGTGGCGTACTCAGCCCTTATTTTATCACAAATGCTAACGTTGCTACTGGAATCTCATACCATCACTTTCCTAAACGCATTTTGGATATTCGGTATGCCGCTTTTGTACGTTGCCGCAACTTCTGCGTACTCTTCCATACCGAAATTCCAATACTTTGGTGTCTGGACTAATTCAATAAGCGTGGCAAGCTTCTTGACTGTTTTTGGTGTCGCATTTATGCTGGTCCTCCCTGTTTTGGGGTTGTTGACCCTACGCCAGGCGTTGAATCCTGACCCACGCGATATACTTCGCTCAGCAGCGATAAAAAGTCAAAATCGGCGGCAAGTTTCGTACGGTTATGGGCGGTGCATGTCGCGACTGTGTCGTTTCCTCTTGTGCGTGCCGGAGGAGGCCTCTTGTTTTATTGAAACCCCACTGTCTGCACGGCGTTTGGATGATCTTTGCTAAGGGGGTAACAATACATCCCTTGGAATTCCGCCTTTTTAAACATGTAATGGTGTAGCGGGCATCACCTGTTAAGTGGTGGTGTGTACGGTATGAATGTTGCTTCACCTTCTGTGCGTGCAATGATGTGTGTTGGGGTATTGTCGGAAGTGTGTGTGTGTGTGTGTGTGTGTGTGTGCTTTTCGCCACGATGTGATTCGTGGCATACACTGGGCCGCATGCCTTTCCCTGTTGTTCTTCTTTTCCCTCCTTCGCACACACCACTTAACCCGAAAAACAAACAAACACAGAAAAGCCAGAAAAGGCGCAGATGTCAGCTCCCATGTCACGCTGCGGTACCTGCAACGCCGTATTTGACTCGATTGAGGCCGTGCACAAGCACTACGAGTCGGAGTACCACCTGCACAACGTGCGTCTGCGTGTTGAGGGGCGGCGTCCAATCACTGCACAGGAGTACAAACATTTCCGCGTGGCGCAGCAAGAGGACGCCGATGAAGAAGGGCGGCCGTCCTTTGCGTGCAAGCTGTGCAAGAAGACGTTCCGTTCCGTGCAGACCCTGCAGGCCCACGTTCGCTCCACTGCGCACTTGATGAAGAAGGAGCAGCGTATCCTCGCCCGCGACTCGGACGCGGCTAGTGCACTCACATCGACCTCACTCGGCAGCGCGGCGATGGGATTGCACCGCCGCCACAATGCAAAACGCGTGAAGCCGCCCAGTCCGTCGGCACGGCTCAAGAAGGCAGAAAAGGTGCAACTGGAGGATCGCGAGGAGGACGTGAGCGAATTGCGCTGCCTCTTCTGCGGCGCCCTTGCCGATGGCATTGAGGAAAATCTGCATCACATGAGCACTATTCACGAATTCACGTTGCCGCTATTGCACAGGTGCAGTGATGTGGCTGGACTATTGGCATACATTGCCCGGAAAGTAAACGGTCTTCTTTGTCTCGTGTGTGGAGAAAAGACAAAGGCGTTTTCCTCTCTGGAGGCGTTGCGGGCACATATGCGGGAGAAGAACCACGAACGAATCATACTGGGACCGGAGTACGATGGGTTCTATAGCATCAGTCTTGCGGACGCGGCCCTGGGCGAGCGGTTAGACCCGAGCACAATGACGTTGGTGCTTCACGACACGAAGCGAAGTGTGCAGCGGCGAGAGGCAGAGGTGCCACTGCCAAGAAAGAAGGAAAGTGAGGCACACGCCGAAAAACGCCGAGCCATTCTGGCAGCAGACCAGGAGGCCCTCGCGGTGGCACGGAGAGAACGACAGGAGGCATTGAGTGTGCAGAACAAGGAGGCGCAAAAGATATTGAAGCGACAGGAAGGTCACCACCAGGGCCAGCAGCTCAAGGTAAATTTGCGAAGCAACAAACTGCATCCGAAGGGCTATGACGGTGAAGGTCAGGTGAACTAAGGTAATGAAAAGGATGTATTAAAAAAACCTCCTATCCAGTTTTCCTGTGTGGGTCCCTTTGTGGATAAAAAACAAAATGAGTTGTTTCAGAAGCTGTTTCTCCTGACAAGAGTCCTCATTTGGTATTGGGGACCAGACACGGCGGGAGCAGTTGATCCACGCCGTCCATGAAACACATCCAATTGATCTGGCGTCATAACCTTCTTTATGTGACATCGTGCAGAGTTGTTGTGCCAGCGGCCTTGACCATATTTTAGTTCTCCAAATATAAATCTAAACACATTTGGGTTCTCTCTCTCTCTTTCTCTTTCTCACACACATGCACACCATTTTTTTTTCTATTTGGGGTGTTGGTTGGCAGCTGACAAAGTCAACGTAGAAGAGCAATAGGAAGGTACACGGTAGGGTAGCTTCACTAAGGGGAAGCAAAAGGAAGGATCTTTTGTGGTTTCATTTACATAGAGTGGAGAGTTGCAGCATCATACGAAACAAACACTTAATATATATAGCTAGCTGTCGCTATCATGTGTTTCACCGTATTTTTCACCGGTATCACATGGACCCTTGATCGTCTCCACAAAATTGAGAGGCGCAGTGCCATTGTCCTCACTGATCCTTTTGTATTTCTCAGTGGGGGGTTAGCAGGCTGGGCTGGACGCGCGGCGGCGATTCCATTTGACAATGGGGGCATAAAGGGGCCTGCGCAGGCCTGCTACCGGCGCATGCCGCAATTTGGCCTCCTCATGTGGATGTACGTCCCGCTTGCCTCGCAGCTGCTTCCAGGACTGGAGTCCGATCCGCCTTTCAAAGCGTTTACGACGTTTGTTCTTGGGGCATTCGCTGGATTTATGATGCGACTCATCTGTAACCCTGTCAATCGTGTTCGTGATGAGTGCCTCCGAACTGGTGACACATTCTTGAAGACGTGTCAGGTGTTCAAGAGCAAGACGGTGCTGCAGTTCTTCTACACGACGCCACCGCTAATGGCCAACGCCATCTACTTTGGGGCACTTATGACCGTTTTTGAGGGGCTGCGACGGTTCTGTGAGCGCAATCGCCTTATTCCTTTGACAATAGAAAAGGATGAAAAGGGAAAAGATATCTTTTCAGCAAAAAACTACGCCATTGTAGCCGCCGGGAACACGGTGGTTGGTGGGATTGCTGCAGGTGTGGCATCCACTGTCTGCTATCCGCTCTCAGCGCACACCTATCAGCAGACTGTCATCCACGATTCCGCCATTTGCAGGGGCCTTTTGCCGACTCTGAGGAAAGAGGTGCCGATGATGGCAGCTAGTTTCGGTGTCTTCACTCTTCTTCAGCCCGTCATAGCACCGCACCACGGCACTCGCGTGGGTTTCGGGTATTAGATCATGTCTCAGCGAGGGACGGGGGAAGTATTGTTGCTGTTGTTGTTGTTTTTCTTTTTCTTCTAGGGGTGGGGTTTGTTACTGTGGGTTATTGGGACAAACGGTGAATCGGGAATGGTCTGTGTAGGAGAATGAGGGCTTAGAAGCTCGAGGGTATCGTGTACGCTTTGTCTTGAAAGTGGCCATAGAAAGAAAGGGAAGTGAAAAGGGAAGGGAGTTTGGTGGTATATGTGCATCTGTACTTGTGTATGGTTGTAGAAACCTCTCTAACTTAATCTCTTTTCCACAGTTAGCAGGAAGGTGTGTTAGTGACAGTCTGATGTAGCGTTTCTGGTGTGGGTATTTGCGCCTGCTTCGACAGGCACAGTTGAATTCCTACATATCCCTTCTTTCGTTCTCATTATTATCATTCTCTGTGTTGTTTGTTTGTATTTGATTCTCGTGCATTTCTCTTTTGTTCTTCTTCGTCTTTCTAACTTTTGTGGTGGTTGCACTGAGAAGCAAAAGGTCGTTAGTCCCTGCGGCAGCTGGGCGGCGCTAACATGGACAAGATGACTCCACTCGAGGAGAGTACAGGGTCCTGGTGCAGCTCACAAAGCAACAGCTACGAATTCCCGTCAAACAGACAGTCATTGCGTTGGTCCCAGCGCATGCTCACTGCGGGGTCCACAGCGCGAGAAGATACAGCGCCGTACGACAGCAGCATTGCCGAGCGTCCGCAGGAGGCAGGCAATCGCGAGGATCCATGCACGGCGGACCACACCGGTAATGAATCACCGATGCGCTCGCGTCGGCTCAGCCTGATTTCGGCAAACACTTCCCACGAGGGGTCCGTCGTGCCGGCGAGATGCAGCCAGGACAACGACTACGCCGCGTACGACAGCGGCACGGCGGCACAGACACTGCGCTCCGACACCTTCACACCGCTCGAGTGGAGCGCCGCGCGGGAGCAAGGGTGCCGTCGGCGGTCGCACCAGGTGTTGCGTGAAGCTGAAACAGAGGTCGAACCGCTAGAAGATGATGACGAAGCAGAGAAAGAAGAAGATGGGGAGGGAGACAACGCAACGCCCAGTAAGCAATCAGACAGGACGTCAATACCGAACGACGAGGATGGGGATGCACCAGAGGACCTTATGGTGTCGGTGGCGGTGCACGACGCCAGCGAGGGGCAGTCAGATGTGGCTCAGGTCCACATAAGTGAAAATGCAACGGACCCTGGCAGCGCCACCATAGAGCGGATGAGGTATGACGCGCCCGAAGATCCACGTAACTATATTATTAATGTGATCGTTAATAGCGCTGTGGGAAGTGTGACCCTTCAATCAATCCACGACGCTCTTCATTGGGATGAGCAATTCAAAGAGACAAATGGAAGTGTCTTGGACTATTTGCAGGGTTATCAATCCATCTTTGCTGTGTCGCCCGTCGATGACCGTGTGACGCTGCGTCGTCCACTGCAGACGGCGAAGGGCCGCCGTGTGATGCGGGGGAATCGTGGGTGCCACGTCATCTCTAGCCGAATTGGCAGCATGAGTTGCAGCTGTGTGGCGACCTCGTTTGACCTTGATCTGCTGTCATCCATCTACAAGCGACGTGGTTATAATATTGCAATGGTTTACGGTGTGCTGCACGTCTCCTCCCATCACACTTTTGATCTTTTTCTCTTCCGCAATGGTGTTGTGGTGTGGTGGGGCATGAATCGCTGCGACCACTGGCTGGTGGAGGACGATTTTTTGTCCTCCGAACACTCCTATGTGAGCGAGGCGGTAAAAGGGCGTCACCCGCAGGATATCATTGATGATCTGTTCCCTTTTTGGTGTTCGTATGAGTTGGATGAGCGCTACAACTTGAGTACGCCTACTTGCCGTGATGAAGCGCTTCAGCGATTTGCCACACATCTCTGTTTTGATCATTACCTCATCCCCGATGTTACACCACTCCGCTGGCAAGTAATGCTAACAGTGTCCCACTCACTCAGTCGCACGGCTGTTGTCGACTTGTATGACAATGTGACACAGAGCCTCCACAAACAGGTGCTGGCAATACCATCTGAAATTAAAGGACTTCTTGATTATTTTTCCACGCGACGTCAAATAGCCCATCTTGAGGGGGCGCTGCACCTCGCACTCATGGCCACGACGGCGTTGCGCGACACACCGGAGTTTCTGTGGGAAATGGCGTGGTTGTATGATTACCACGAGCTTGCGGAAAGACAAAACTCCTCGGAGCAGCTCCTTTCATGGTTTAGTGCAAAGAGTGATGCCTTGTTGCAGCAATTAGACAACATAAAGGTACGGCGTTATTGTCTCTTTATGCTGGGTTCAGATGTTTTCTTAATACTACTTCTGATTGCAGATGTCTGTTTCATGCTCGGGAGTTTTGTAGTGAGGTTGTACTTCCCCATGGAAGGCGAGGAGGGTGTATAAAAGGTGGCGGGAAAGAGTGGAGAAAACATCTCGCAATGTGTTTTGTTGCATGCTTGCTAAGCTCATTGGCATCATTCCCGTGTGCTTCTTTTTTTTTTGCGCATTGAGGTATTTGTGGTACTAACGATAACCGAAGCGATGGGCACCTTGTATGCGATCTGAAGAGTCACTGCTTTCGCTTTTATTATGTTCTTTCCTATCTCTCTCTCTCTCCCTCTATCTCTCTCATGCACGTATTGCTGCGTGGTGTTCTATCTCTCTCCCCCCCCCCTTGGTTGCATCTCTCTGTGCACGTTTGCTTGGAGGGTTTTATTGCCATCTGCATAGCCAAAGAAGATGGGCGATGTTGACATTGAAGACGCATTTAATGGTAGCAGCAACGGCGCTCGTTTTACAGCAGCCACACGGCCGGTATTGGTGAACGCCCGCCGTCGCAAAGGACCAACGGAGCCGCACGAGAACTACGGTGAAGGCATCCCCGGCAACGCGACAGTTTTTGTGCACACATTCGGCTGCGGCCACAATGTCAGCGACGGCGAGTACATGGCAGGACTTCTAGCTCAGGCCGGCTACCGCGTCACGGACGCATTCAACCACGCCGACGTGTACCTGCTCAACTCCTGTACTGTCAAGAACCCAAGCGAGGAGCATTTCATCAGCATGATGAACCGTGTGCGGGCCACCGGGAAGCCGCTCGTCGTCGCCGGGTGTGTGCCGCAGGCAGACCCGCAGAACACGCAGTGGGATGATGTTAGCGTCATCGGCGTGCGCAGCATTGATCGAGTTGGACACGTTATTCACGAGGCGCTGCAGGGCAACTGCGTTCGGCTCATCGGCGTGCACGAGCAGCAGGAGCAGGAGCAGGAGCAGAAGACTCATGAACTTCCGCCGCTTGACCTACCAAAGGTGCGGCGTAACAGGTTCATTGAAATTATACCCATCAGCGTCGGTTGCCTAAACCACTGCACTTACTGCAAGACGAAACAGGCCCGTGGTGACCTGCGGAGTTGGCCTGTTGAGAGCATCGTCACGCGTGTCCGCGCGGTGCTGCAGGAGGGCGTGAAGGAGATATGGCTCGCTTCCGAGGACACTGGGGCGTACGGCATTGACATCGGCACTGACGTGGTTCATCTTATGCGTGCCGTCGCCAGTGAGTTGGAGGGGACAAACGTTATGATGCGCGTGGGAATGAGCAACCCACCCTACCTGCTGCGCCAGGTGGACGAGTTTGCGGCGATTCTCAGTCATCCGAACGTGTATGAGTTCGTCCACATCCCTGTGCAGTCTGGCTCCAACCGCATTCTCGATGCGATGCAGCGGGAGTACACTGTTGAGGAGTTCTGCGAATGTGTCTACCGCATCCGCAGCATCGTGCCAGGCGTTACCATCGCAACAGACATCATCTGCGCATTCCCGGGTGAGGGGGAGCCGGAGTGGCGCGAGACGATGGTGCTCTGTGAAAACGTGCGTTTCCCTGTTTTAAACATCACCCGTTTTTATCCGCGCCGCAACACACCGGCTGCGGCGATGAAGCAGATACTGACGGAAACGGCGAAGCAGCGCACCACGGAGTTAACATCCTTCTTCAACTCGTACCGCACGTACGATTGCTTGGTGGGTGAAGTGCACCGCATCACGCTACTCGAGACGGCGCACGACAAGCATCATCTCGTTGGGCACACAAAGAGCTACGTGCAGGTGCTTGTCGACCCCGCCGAGGCGAGAATGGGGGACACCGTCACTGTCGTCATTATCTCAGCCACAAAGTACAGTGTTGTGGGGCGAGTGCTGCAGAGCCGTTGGGATCGTCTTACGGTGACGGCGGCAGCAGCAGCAGCAGCAGCGGCAACAACAGTTCGCTCTGGAAGGTGGCGAACGCTGACAGGTGTTGCATTCGTTGCGGCAGCAGCAGCAGCAGCCGTGTACAGGGGGCGTGCATGGAGGCGCTAATACAGCAGGACCAAATCTGAGATGGATGCCTCCATCGCTCCCTAGTTCCTTTCATCACGCCTAATTGCGAGAAGAGAGTTATATGACGGACCCTTGCATAGTATTCATTCTATCGCCACAGTGCAGGACACCTTGGTGTCTCTGTCACCTTTTAAAACAGTATTGTGTTCTTTTGTTGTTGTTGTTTTTGTGTTTTTGTGCATCATCGTCACCTCCGCATGCATTTAGACGTGCATACACCATCAGTAGCCCATTGCGACAGCATGGATGTCTCTCAACGAGGCATGCTTCGGCTGGGTGACCGCGAAGCACCATCGCATAAGCTATTTGAAGGAGGATACATCGCACGATATAGTGTCATCAAAAACTCGTGGAAAGGTAAGTACATGCGTATTTTCTGTATCGGGCACAAGCACATCGCAACGATTAATCCACAGAGCATTTTCCGCGTCACCAACACCTGGGATTACCGGACGCAGCTCTTGGATGTCTTGCCCACCCCACATGGTTTGACCGACTTCACTGTCACCACGGGAAGTACCGTTAAAAGTGAGACAACAACTTTCCACTGCAACACAGTCATGGAACGTGCCGAACTGCTCACGGACGTGCAGAGGAACCGCGTGCTGTTCGATGCCAGGTACCAGCAGCAGGCAGCCAGGCATGTGTATCCTGCGCGGAAGTACTGCTATGATGAAGAGTACCGTAACTGTCACCTCCGCGTCACAAACATTGCCGTTGAGCAAGTGGATCACGAGGGGAATGTTGTTGGGGAATACCTCTTCCTACACATTAAAGGTCTCACGTCGATTCAGGACAATCCCCGAAGCCTCGTGATCCTTTATGGGCCGCAGATGAAAATGCACCTGTATGAGATGGACAACCCCGTAGAGGTGGTTCAGCTCATCACTGAATTTTCGAGGCGTTTCATTGGTCTGCCGCCCCTCCGTGAGGTGCATACCCTGAGCCAGCAACAGTTCGACGCGGACCGTCTCGGGGTTGACAGGGTGGAGCTGGCAACAACGGCAGATTTTACGGTGATGAAGCTAAGCCTGAAGCACCGCGACACGCCGGTGCGCCGCGTACTCGCGACGACGCGCAACTGTGTGATGGAGTTAGACCCTGCTACTTACAATCCCGTCAACGTGTACTTTTTGGCTGACATTTACGCGCTCATCCGCTGCGAGGGGGATGACCAGCGCTTCATGATTCAGTACAAGGAGCCGGCAGTAGTGAAGGTGTACGTGTCACCTATGCGTGATGCGCTGCTAGCACATCTCGTGGATTGCTGCCGCGCTGGGGGTAACATTAATGCGTGCATCGTCGCGGAGATGTTTGATAGAGGCAAACGTGCCACGCCGTTCCGTATGGCTGTGCCGGAGGAGATTGAAAGCACGCTTCTCAACTGCCTCATTGACCCTTTCAAGAGTGGAGGTCTTGTCACCATGACATTTTCAGACGTGGTGAACTTCTTCAATGCCAACATTGAGTACATGGGTCTGCGCGTCACGGAAAATCGTGATGGCCTCTTCGCTGAAAATAGGGAGAAGAAGATTTTTAGCGCATTGGTGGCAGTATTGAACAACTTTCCTGTGAGTGATGACCCATTAGTTGTTGTGCAGCAGTTCTATGCACTTCGGCGACTCTGTGTCACCCGCACCGGATTCAGTTCCGTCGCAGTTGTGCCCTCATTTATTAAGAACATTGAGGCTGCAAGCATGAAGGCACTTCAGATAAATAGTGTTGTGGTTTCTCATGCGGTGATTGATTTTCTGTGTGTTCTCTTGACACCGCACCATGACCACTATGAGTTAGCCCATGAAGAAGCAAACAAGAACCGCATTCTTGGTCATGCGCAATTCGTAAATCAACTGTTGCGATTGCTACATGACTATACGGAAGCGGAGAGTGCCTCTCTTGTTGTACAGTCTCTGCTAGATTTTTTTGTCTATGCACTGTGTCCACCGTATTGTGAGACAACTGAGGCAATGCTGTTCACCTCCGTTATGAAGGAAATGGTGGACACAATGGGGAAGGGGTTATTCACTCTTATGCAGCATACCTGTAATGCCATGAGCTATAGTGCGGGTCAGCTTATTCGTGTCATTATGGAGGAAGGCACTAGCGAGCAGTTTTTCGCCATGCAGCTGGCATCCCTCAGTGAAGGCGGTATTCTAGGGCAGCTTCATCTAGCCATTTTTAGCAACAACCGTAAGCTCCGCGATCTCGCCCGTCAACTCATCGCCTACTGGACGTACCAAAACACAAATGTGCAAGACCTGATGCGCGCCATGCTTCCGGCTACGTTGTTGCTCTACCTCCAGTCAAAGGAGGAGCCACCAGAAGACGAGGTTGAAAAGGGAAACCAAAGGAATGTTGTAGCGATGTCGAACGCCTTCTGGGAATCCAAGCTTGGCTGGTTCAAGAAGCGTTTCCACCCGAGCAATGTGATGGGGAACACTTCCACGTACAATCTGTCCATGACCTCTGGGGAGAATGTGTACAAGCGTCCCCGGCACGTGAAGGTGAAGCCAACACTGAACTGGCCGATGCTGTTCTACCAGATCAAGCAGGATCACGCACGGCCGGACCTCATCTGGAATCACACAACGCGGAATGAACTTCGTGAGGCGCTAGAGACAGAGATGCGGGCACTCAAAGTCGGTATGGGGCTCCGCTCTGAAGTCGCTGTCTCGTGGAACTACCGCGAGTTCGAGGTGCGGTATCCCAGTCTCGATGAGGAGCTCAAGATTGGCCAACACTACCCGCGTCTCCTATTCGAGACAAAAGACCCAGTGATTGCGCAGCCCAAGGAATTCTTCAACGACATGTATCACAGGTTTTTGCTCTCACAGGACCATAAAACGAAGTTAAACTGTTTGCATGGAATGTCAATTCTGTATGAGCACTACGCCGAGGTGATTGGGCAATTTAACGACGTAGAATACATCGTGAAGATGCTTGAGGCAACATCCGATCCAGTTTTTCGAGACCGCTTGCTGAATTTCATCTTACAACTTCTCCGCATCCGCTTGAATGTAAAACTCTTCTTGGACTGTGATGGACTTCGACCACTCGTCGATCTGCTGTCGGTCGCTCACCTGCACGTGGATAGACCACAGTTGCACAGCGCGACGAATGCCATTGAATGCGCCGGATCTCCGATGGATTTACAGGATCAGGAAAAGGAGTGGTTCTACACGCAGGGTGGTGCTAAACAGGATCCGGTGTCGTACATCCGACTTAAACAGCTCTACGAGGAGGGAGTGGTAACGGGTGATACCAAAGTGTGGGCTCAGGGACTCTCGGGTTGGAAAGAGTTTAAGGATGTGCCGCAGCTGCGCTGGGGCATCATTGCGAACAAGAGCAGCAAGCTTCTCACTCTAACTGAGGTTTCAAGCACCATCCTTGATATCTTTTTGCTGCTCTGCGCCTATTACCCTTCAAAGGATGAGACTGGTGCTGTCATGCAGCCTCTGCCGCGTGTGAAGCGTTACCTATCAGGTCCACAGGTTCTTCCACACATTGTGCAGCTGCTGTTGACATTCGACCCTGCCCTCTGTACCCGCGTTCATTCACTTCTCTACACCATCATGGAGGACAACCCGCTCGTGTCGCGCTTCTTCCTTACTGGGGTGTTTTTTTTCGCTCTTCTTTACACTGGCTCCGATGTGCTTCCATTATGTCGTCTGCTTCACCTATCACACCGTCGACAGGCGTTTCAATTCCAACACGACAACGAAATCATAAGGCTGAGTATTCTCAGTCCGATGCTCCCACCAGCGCTCGTATGCTTCCTGACGCACCACGGCCCAGAGCGCTTTGCTGACGTTTTTCTCGGTGAGTACGAAACACCAGAGGCTATTTGGGGCAAAGCAATGCGGAGGTACCTTGTCGAAAAGATCGCCAGCCACATCGCCGACTTCACGCCGAGGCTACTGGGCAACAATCGTGCTGTCTACCAGTACTGCCCCATCGTGGGCGTGGTGTACGACCAGCTAGAGAAGGAGCTTTTCTGCTCGCAGTACTACCTACGCCACTTCTGTGATGAGTTGCACTATCCTAATTGGCCCGTTGCTGACCCCATCTCTCTCCTGCGCGAAGTATTGGAAACGTGGCGGCGCGAGCTCGACCAGCAGCCCAGTCGCCTAACTCGCGAAGGCTGCTTGGTTGAACTTGAGATTTCGGACCACAGCAACCTGACACCGCAGCTCGTGCGTAAGGCATACTTCAAACTGGCGGCGCAGTACCACCCAGACAAAAACCCCGATGGACGGGAGAAGTTTGAACGTATTCAAGTGGCGTATGAGTTCTTGGCTTCTGATACGGTTGTGTCGGATTCCCCTAGGCCCCACAATATTGCCCTCCTGATGCGAACACAATCTATTTTGTTCAGGCGTTTCAGTGAGGTCATGAGTCACTACAAATACGCTGGTTATGGTCTATTGCTGAAGCTCATTAAGTTGGAGTTTGAAGACCAGGAAATGCTACGTAAAGAAGTCGTACTCATGGAGCCAGCGACAGAGCTATGTTACTTCACAGTGCAGAATGTCCCCCTCAATGCTGACGAGTTGCAAGAGGAAGGTGGAATTGAACTTCTGTCAGGTGTAACACAGCGATGCTTTGAGACTATAACACCCAGCGCCACTGATGATCTGAACCATGTGAAAATTGTGCGGCACTGTATGAACACGTTTCGCGTGGCTGCCGAGTTCCCCGACTGTCGCCGCCACATTCTCAACGAGCCGGTCATCTGTCACCTCGCCTCAAAGGGTATTGCATATGAGAATGCTGTGGGCCTCTCGCGTGCCTGTATCCAAGCCTGTCAGGCGTTTTGCGTGGATGAGACGCTGCAGGGATTTGTTGTGAAGGCAGGAGCCATCTGGCATTTGCTGCTCTTCCTTTTTCGTTACGATTATACATTAGACGAGAGCGGTGTTGAACTGCAGGAGGAGCACCACACGCAGCTGTTTGCCAACAAGGCTGCGGTGTACGCTCTGCGGGCAATTTACGCCTTGGCGGGGATTCAACCTTGTGACACGTATCTGGAGACAAAACCCAATGCTGACATCGTCTGTTTGCTCCAGAAGCTGCTTACACCGTACATTGTGCAGAGGATGCGGATGCTTCCTGGTGGTGAGAAGGATATACTGAAGTTACTCAACAGCAACCATGAAACGCCATACCTGCTGTGGAACAACTCTTCCCGACGTGAGCTCATGGATATGCTTCGTGTCAATTCCGACAAATGCCTTGATGCAGGCATGTTTGGTGATGACCTTCCTAGCCTGAGAGACGACAACTTTACATACACCATTCATAAAGGGGAACTTATTGTTGGTGGTATCTTTGTGAGGGTGTACAATGAGCAACCGACGTTCATAATTGAGGATCCTGCGGCGTTTTGTTGTGCAATGATAAAACTGTTGGCGTATCAATTGGTAGGCAGTACCTCTATTGGTGTTCTTCTGACTGTGGAAGCGATGAAGAACTTATTTCTCGCGTACCCAAAGGCAGATGTTATCGCCGTTGTGGAGCAAAACGTGGGAATTCTAGTGAAGGTATTGTCATATGATGATATTGATATCATCATCAAGACGGCGGAGCTGTTTGAAAAGATAGCCCTTCACCCTAAATGTCTGGAGGCGATGGGAAAGGTGAACAATACCATAACAGAGGTTATCCTCGCCATTGATCGCGCTGGTGAAGCAGTTGAACCAAGTTGTTTGGCGTTCTTGCGGATTGCTCTGTCAGATAATGGGACGGTGCAGCAGGCATTGGATCGTGGATTGTATGCGCTCCTGCTTCGTATCTTCGGGACGACTCCTCTGCAAGAGTGCAAGGACGCTGTCTGTGCATCCTTAGCCAAGGCTTGTACAGATAATCTGTGTGGTCCCAAGGTCTTTTTGCGTGCCTCCAAGCTCATTCCTCCTGTAATGCTGGAGATGATGAAGGAGAACCCTGCAAATGCCTGTCAACTCTTTGACACGTGGCAAGAAACACCGGAATTAATATGGAATAAAGAACGCAAAGCACGTTTCGTGGAGAAATGCGCTGCATGTCAGGCGGATATTGTTGAATTGCTTCGACATGACCCTGTAGCGTATTGGAAGATACCTGAGAATATTGCGACAGAACGAAATGAGGACGTGCAACTTGGAGGTGTATACTTGGAGCTGTACCTAAAACAACCTGGATGGACGGTGCGCAAGCCGAAGGAGTTTCTTGCGGCACTGCTGGAGCGTTTCATAGAAGACTGCATGAAGCCGAAAGATGAACTGAACGCGGAGACAATTGCCCTCGTGACAGAGGCGGGCTTACGCCTGCTGCAGGTGACCCCGACGGTGACAGACCACATTGTCTCACTCGGTTATACGCAAAAGTTATTTAAGCTGTTGGAGTCAGAGGAAGATGTGGTAGCAGGGAACGCGCTGAAGTGGGTTCACGAAGAGTGCGCTTCTGTTGCGTGTGTGGAGAGCCTCGTGAACCTCGACCCTGTTGCCTCTCTCCTCTCCTACCTGCGAGGGCATCCGTCGCAGCTGCCGCTGCTAATGGACACGCTGGAGCGACTCTTGTCACGATCCTCTGAACGAGTCAATACGGTTCGCTTGGCCCTCCTCAACCACCTCCCGCAGCACCTCCTGGAGCTGTTGGAGAACGGCATCACACCAGATGCGTGCGGGGATCACTCCCCCGCTGCTATGCGCGCATTAATTATCAAGGTGATCAAGGCAATGGTGGCTGTGCAGGATCCAGTGCATGGCCTCCAGCTGGAGAGTATTCTTGCAGAAAGCAAGGTTTGGGCAAAGTACAAAGACCAGAGTCATGACCTTTTTCTCACCAATACGCGTTTCGGTGGCTACTTGGAAGGGACACAGCAGCAACACCAACTGTCGCTCATTGCCCCTGCCACACAACACGTAACCAACGACAACGATCCTCCACCGGTGTAAGTAGGACATGATGTTTGCTGTGTACCAGCGGGAACGAATGAAGAAGATTGTAAAACGAAAAAAAACACCGATATCGATTTCAGTGTGGTTTTTTTTTCTCTGGTTGTCTGTGTTCCGTACATTTTTTTTTTTGAGCTGTTGGGCATCTGAGGTTTACTCATTATTCTTTTTTATCCGCACCGCTGCTGGTACGTTGCGCTGTTTATTACGATTACTTTTATCGCATTGTTTTCTTCTTTTTTTTTTCGTGTGTGTTTGTTGGCGTGAAAATTAACAACAAAAGAGCATTCACTCCATTGAGTAAGTGCAAGCGCCAGACCAAGCCCAATATACGAAAGTGATGCAGCCTCATACGCCAACGTACTCCGACGCCCGCTCCGAAAACAGCGTCAGCTTCAGCAGCTCTCGTTACGGTCGCAGGGGAGTGGACTACAGCAAGTACAAAACACGGATGTGCCGCAACTACACAATGGGTGTCCACTGCCCCTTCGGTGAGCGCTGCGCCTTCTCCCATGGCGAGCCTGAAGCGAACCAGATGCGCGTGGAAGAGAACGAACTCCCGCCTCCCCCGCCGTACTCGGAGGCCATCCAGGCAGAAATGGTCCTGCCGCCCGCCTACCCATCACGGTTCCGCCACGACCCGTACAGCTTTGCTGGAGTAATGTTCGAGGACTGAATGGGGATTACTGTTCCGTACTCAATCAGAGTGTGCTATCGCAAGAAGACAGAAGCCATCACCGAATGTTAAATCCTGGAAGAGAGAAGATGGAATGGAGAATGAAATAACTGGTGGAAAAAGAGGGGAAAGGGGCCCTTGGTGGTCGAGACCCCTGGGAATAAAAGAAAAAAATGGACTGACGCAGGTACCCAGAATAATGAAAAGGACAACACAACGCAACGCAATTCGATCCTGCAATAATGTGCTTGAAGGGGGATCCGCTGTATGGAGCACACTCGAGACATGATCGGGAACGAAATAGGCTGTGTGTGTGTGTGTGTGTGTGTTTCAGAGAGTCAGGGGGAGAGAGGATAGGTGCGTTGCTTTGGTTTATCCACTAAGCAGTATCCGGAGCAAATGCTTACATAAAGGAATGGAGAGAGGTGATGAGGAAAACGCAGCGAAGATGTACCGCAGCCTCAGCATGATGGCCAATATACATATATGCTTATGTATGTCTGTGTGTGTGGGGGAGGAATAGCTAAAGCAAGTGGCACATGATGTCACACACACATGCACTCACACATACATGTATTGAAGCATTTGCTCAGTCTTTTACTCTCTTCCGCTATCAGCACCTACCTGGCTTTCTGTTTTCAGCTTCGGTATCCGCGTTTCAACCTCCTATGTGCGCGGCTCTATGTTCGCCGATTGTGCAGCGGTGGTGTGATGTCCATTCAGCGCCATGTTTACGCCCCGACTTTTCTTCTTTTACTTGTTTACATTTTTTTTCTGTATTTCTCCAAAATCTCTCACCGCTTTTTTCGCTCAAAGGTGAGGCCCGTTCCGCGAGCCGCCGCTCATACTTTTTTTTGTTTTGTTTTATTTGGTTCTTCCCTTTTTTTTTT